TATCTAAATAAAAACTATTTAATTTTCTACTCTTTTTAGAATTAAACGACTTCATGACATGTCTGCAAAATAAACAAATAATAACAATTAATTTATAAAATAAGATGAACCTTAAAAAATATAATAATTTATCTAAATAAAACCTAATTAATTTGTAAGTCGGTCAATTATTGGTAAATAAAATATAAACAAATAATATTTATATTAAACAAAATATAATATAGAAAAGATAAGATATAAAGCAACACGATGATTTTGACATATATTTGCAATATTTTTTATATAAGTTTGTAAGTGGAACCATCCTTATAATTTGGTTGCATTTCAATTTTTTTATATTATTACTAAATAAATTTAAAACATAATTTTTATCATTCTTTTTTTGACATATATTTGCAATATTTTTTATATAAGTTTGTAAGTGGAACCATCCTTATAATTTGGTTGCATTTCAATTTTTTTATATTATTACTAAATAAATTTAAAACATAATTTTTATCATTCTTTTTTTTTTTCAAAATGTTTTAATCAACCAATACAATAATTCAATTTTATTTAATATTATAGAAATGCATTTACACTTTTGTATTAAAAGTGAACCGTAAATTGAGAATATATGTATTTATATTATATATTTTATTTTTATTTATAAATCTTAAATAATAAATTTGTAGCTATAATATTTGTGGTTAGAGAAATACATTTTGGGAAATGGGAAATGTAATCCGCACAAACAGATGAAATCCTCCCCCCCCCCCCCCTTCGTAACTTTACCTATCTAGATTTGAAGGTAAGAGAAATTGGAAGAATGGTATTTATAAATCCAATATTATTGCCCTAACAAAATCGTTATGATTCACCACCCATATTGAAATCATTATCATCCCGATAACATTAAGTATCGTTCATGCATGTGTTTAATTTCTAAGATTTTGTTTTCATCTATCGATTTCTTATATGTATGTCATCAACCGAAGTCAATTACATGTATATGCTCCGTATTCATTTGTTTTTTTCTTCCTTCGTTTATCTAGTTCGAGTATCGACTAATATCTATTTAGAATATTTTGCAATTTCCTCGTATTCCTTAATTTTTTTCTCACAGAAAATAGATTAAAGTAAAAATAAAACTGACCTGTTAATTTTGCAGGAGAATCGATGGAGTAGGAGTCTACACAGAAGAAGACATAGAGAGAAGTGGAAAAAAAAACGTAAAATTATTGAAATAAATTATTGGCTGTTTTGAAGACTTTTCAGCAATCAAAACTTCAAAATTTGAAATTTGAAAATGCGATTATTCAGGTGATTATTCATACATAATATTTATGTACTTAATTAAATTAAGAAAAGATTGATTTTTATTTATGTAAAATATACAACATTTGGAAATCGACAAATTTGATCATTTTTGTTGATTTCTAAATTTATGTTATCAATAAATGGACCAGCAATGAAAAACATATGTATGAACATAGAAATTTGTTTTTTGGAACCTGAACAGGAAAATGATGGTCCAGAGATTGGTGTTGGTAGATTTTTTACATCTGGGAAGAAGAGTTATGCAGAAATTGTTGTTGCTACACTGTTTTTCAGGTGTGTTGTTTGTTGTTATGTTCTTTCATCAAGGTAACATATTAAGCAAATTAGTTTAATTGTTGAATATTGTAGTGTTTTTGGTGAGTAACAAAAGAAATAAAATCATTGAAACAGTTCAACTTTTGTTAGTTTAGTCTTTCAACTTAAGTACAATATGGTCTTGTTTTGAGTAAATCGGTTACAATAGTGTAAAAATGTCAGTTTTAAACTTGTATAAGTATATGTGTTAAGTAGTTTTTCAACTTAGGGGTAATATGGTATCTTTTGGATTAATTGAAGTGGAAAAGGGTAAGATGGTCATTTTAAAACTTGAACAACAGTTGTGAATTATAAGCACAATACAGTTAAAGAACATACATATATATAGCATTGAAAGTACAATAATATACTGAGTAAATAAATATAAATCTAAAACTATATAATTTTAAATTTTTTTCTATTAAGTGGATGCTTCTTCCAAACACATTCGTAAATACAACAAAGTGCTGCAGTTTGTCCCATTTCATTGACAAAAAAGACCGTTTTAAAACCGACATTTTCAAATTAATGTCACATTATCGTTAAAAAATCTGAATAACATTTGTGAGTTTTAGAAAATATAGAAGATTTTATTATTCAGAATACATAAATAGCAGAATTTTTATTATACAAATTGATTTATTTATTTATTTGTCTTAATTGTTAACTGCCATATATCAAATACTTTTCAACTTAGGGGCAATATGGTCTTTTTGAAGTAAAAGAAGTGGAAAAGGGTAACATGACAGTTATAAAAAATAAAAAACTATATCATAGACTGTAGTAGAAGTTTTTTTATTCAGAATACTTAAAAAAAAAAAAAAGTAGAAATAGCAATATACATTCAGTTTTTTGTTTTCAAACTAAGGGCATTATGGTATTTTCTATAGTAAATGAAGTTGATAACGAGGTCACATTATCGTTTAAAAATTTGTATAACAGTTGTGAGGTTTAGAAAGTATAGTTATATATATCATATGTATAAAGCATTGAAAGTAAAATAATATAATGAGAAAAAAAAATCGAAACCTATATCATAGACTATAACAGAAGTTTTATTATTCAGAATACATAAACAGAAAAAAAACAAATAGTATTTTACTAATTCAATTTGTTGTATTTGATACTATAATTATAGAGAAACAGCAATGCAGGGGAAATAGTAAAATAGTAAAATACATATAGAAGCAGAATTTTTATTATACAGATTGATTGATTGATTTATTTGTCTTAATTGTTAACTATCATATATCAAATACCTTTCAAGTTAGGGGGTAATATGGTTTTTCTGAAGTAAATGCAGTGGACAAGGGATAAATTGTTGTTTTAAAACTTATATAACATATGTATCAAATACCTTTCAACTTAGGGGTAATATGGTCTTTTTTGGAGTAAATGAAGTGTAAAAGGATAAATGGTCATTTTAAAATTTGTATAACATATGTATCAAATACTTTTCAACTTAAGGGCAATATGGTCTTTTTTTGAGTAAATCGGTTACAAAAGTGTAAAAATGTCGGTTTTAAACTTGTATAATTATATGTGTTAAGTAGTTTTCAACTTAGGGGTAATATGGTATCTTTTGGATTAATTAAAGTGGAAAAGGGTAGGATGGTCATTTTAAAACTTGAACAACAGTTGTGAATCATAAGCACAATACAGTTAAAGAACATACATATATATAGCATTGAAAGTACAATAATATACTGAGTAAATAAATATAAATCTAAAACTATATCATTTTACATTTTTTTCTATTAAGTGGATGCTTCTTCCAAACACATTCGTGTATACAACAAAGTGCTGCAGTTTGTCCCATTTCATTGACAAAAAATACCGTTTTAAAACCGACATTTTCAAATTAAGGTCACATTATCGTTAAAAAATCTAAATAACATTTGTGAGTTTTAGAAAATATAGCAGATTTTATCATTCATAATACATAAATAGCAGAATTTTTATTATACAGATTGATTGATTGATTGATTTGTCTTAATTGTTAACTGCCATATATCAAATACTTTTCAACTTAGGGGCAATATGGTCTTTTTGAAGTAAAAGAAGTGGAAAAGGGTAACATGACAATTATAAAAAATAAAAATTTATATCATAGACTATAATAGAAGTTTTTATATTCAGAATACATAAAAAAAAAAAAGTAGAAATAGCAATATACATTTAGTTTTTTGTTTTCTAATTAAGGGCATTATGGTATTTTCTATAGTAAATGAAGTTGATAATGAGGTCACATTATCGTTTAAAAATTTGTATAACAGTTGTGAGGTTTAGAAAGTATAGTTATATATAACATATGTATAAATCATTGAAAGTAAAATAATATAATGAGAAAAAAAAATCGAAACCTATATCATAGACTATAACAGAAGTTTTATTATTCAGAATACATAAACAGAAAAAACTAAATAGTATTTTACTAATTCAATTTGTTGTATTTGATACTATAATTATAGAGAAATAGCAATGCAGGGGAAATAGTAAAATAGTAAAATACATATAGAAGCAGAATTTTTATTATACAGATTGGTTGATTGATTTATTTGTCTTAATTGTTAACTGACATATATGAAATACTTTTCAACTTAGGGGCAATATGGTCTTTTTGAATTAAAAGAAGTGGAAAAGGGTAACATGACAGTTATAAAAAATAAAAAAGTATATCATAGACTATAATAGAAGTTTTGTTTATTCAGAATACATTGGATAAAAAAATATAAATAGCAATATAATTAAGGAGTTTAGTATTGATTTCCTTTTTGATTTTTTGTGTTGTTTTATAATTTCTCATTTATTTTTGATTTTTTGTTTAGTATTGAAATAGCAATATTTTTTGCTAATAACACAAGTTGGTCATGTTAAGGTTACTAGCATAAAACAATATTTATTATTTCATTTTTACTGTCGGTATGAAATAAAAAAAACATATTAAATGAAGCCAATGAACATATTTTGAGTTTTCTTTCTACCTAGGACATGCTAGAAAACAGAAAAATAGAATAAGTTAGCATAAAAGCTAAAGTATGTTGGTATCCTTCTAATATGCAATAAGAACATAAAAGAGAATGAAACAGACTTTGTGCAAATAATATGTAGTATATAATTAATACGAATTGACAGTTTTTAGATCTTTATGTTTTAAAAAAATCAATCAAATTCTGCACATTCAAGTCAAGTGACATGTGATAATTACATAATGAACAAACCAAAAGGAATAAAAGGTAAGAAGAAAATGGGGACCAAAATTAAGATCAATGACGAATATTTTAATAGGGTAGCGTGATTGTTAAGTGAATAATAATTTTAGGATTATATGATGTTCAGAAACGTGAAACAAAATAACATAATAAATGCTATTAGAGTACTGAAAAAGTTGAGCCAATGTAATATGAAGAAACCAATATGAAAATCATAAAATTCCCAGAAATCCAACTTAAAATAAAGAAACTTAAAAATGTAAACAGTTTAGGAGTCTATGATGCTGAAACAAAATTAAGCACGACGTAATATTGTTTGTAGAAGTAAAGTGCATTTACTTTTCTTTCTTGGGTACCAAAAGAGGGATTGGTTGTTCATTTGGTGGTGACAAACGAGGAGTTTTAGAAGTAGACAAATTCTCCATTTCATCAAGATCTATGCATGTAGCAATGTTTCTTTTTTAATTCTGTTGGTGTAGAAAACAACTTTGTAGGACTTGTTGCAGTTGAGTTGTCCATAGCACACGGTGTTAAATTTTCACCTGTGTGTGAAAAAGAATCCTACAATAAATTTTAGTTAGTTGTTATACATTAAATTGAAATATTTAAAAATTATATTTAAAAAAGTAGAACCTTCACAACTTTGGTCTCTTGGGAGGCAATATCTGAAGAACCAATAATGAATGAATCAAAATTAGCAGGCTACATTATAAGATCAAAAGAAAATGTTATTTTACTCATATATAATTGGGCCAATGTGGTAAAGAATATATATATATATATATATATATATATATATATATATATATATATATATATATATATATATAATTGTTGAAAAAAACCTGTGAATTCAGATTCTTTTTCTCTAGTTCATCAATTATGTTTGCATTCTTAGTCAATCTTGCTATCCCATAAATATTACTTTTATTATCCACATTGTAACTCGTGATATCAATTTTAATTGCCAATTTTTTGTCAACCACAAATTTCAACTCCATTGGATACAAATCCAAACTGATGCCAAGCTAAAATAAAAATAAATATTGTTAGATATTTTGTATGTAAAACATATAATGTATAACATACATAATTAATTAAAAACCATAAAATAATACCTTCTTGTTTTTATCATACGACTCTTTAGCTGTGTATTTAAACAGCTTCTTTGCTTCTTGATCAAATAAGGTTAAAGTCAAGGTTCTTGTGTTGTCTTGAACCTGAAGTGGGATTTTAAATCTAAATAAAGTATAAAATGATATTATATTAAAAAATTATGATAAACATATGTTGTTTTTATATAAAATAAATATGTAATACCTTGGAATAACCGAAATTTTGATATTTTTGCAATTAGGATTAGAACATTCATAAGTAACAATTTCGGCCACTTCATGAGAACCATCAACCTTATCAGTAGAAGACTCTTTTTCTTTTGCAGTTGCTACAAGCAAGGTAATACCATCGTATGTTTTGACGTATTCCCTTAACAGTACCAACAATAATGACCGTTTTCTCCTTGAAATTTAAAAAATGTGCAATGTGAATAAATGTTAGTATGCAAAAATGCATGATAGTTTCGTTATAACAATATACTTTGTTTGTTTCTTACTAACAATATAGTTTGTTTAAAAATAATGTAAAGTACCTCTAAAGGTTCAAACAACTCATCAATGTTAGAAAACATATGATTTTTGAGAAAGTCATCGTGTTCCGTGTTTCGTTTTGATGCAATCATCTTGATTCCACTTGATGAAAGTTGTTGTCCATTTTCAGAAACCAATCTGTTAATTCATAACAAAAAAATAATTAAATTAAATACATTATGAAAAAAATAAATCTCAAACTACAATGATCATTATAAATATAAATACTTATATTTGTAGCTTGTAATCTCATCGATATCATTGTTTATGAACAACCTACTAACATCAAAGTAGGTGGAGGAAAAAGGACGACCTGCAAAAACACTTCTGATTAATTAATTATATATAAAATTTTAAAAAATACCTTTTAAAAATAATTACAAACCATTAATAAACTTGACTCTGGCAAACTGAACAATAACAACAATCGGAGCAAGACTGTTATTATTAGCCAGAAAATCTGTCATGTAGTATGCATTATGACCCCACAAAGTTACCTTACGCTTAGTATCCCTGACAACAATAAAAAAATATTGTAACTAATATAAAAGAAAGTATATTATTTGTTTTTCATAATGGTAGATACTCTATATCTTGAAGATGCAAGAGTATTTTGTGTTTTGATTTATCTTCTTCAGATGTATCCATACGCCCATATTCCAATATGTGTCCAATAATATCTAGAAAAGCAACAAAATAGATTGCTTAAGTTAAAAAAATGATCAATTTGTAGCACATAAAAAAGAAAGTAGGATGTTATATAACAAAAGTTAATATTAAATGAACTAACCAAAAGAGTTTGACTCTAGAATGTTGTTCGAAACGACTGTATTGAAGTCAACAAAATCAAAGTCGTGTGCAGATCCAGAAAAGTTTTCACACTCTTTCACAGTTGTATCGTGGTAAAAGTTAAGTTTTCTTTCTGGATCAACAAACTTAAAATTTAAAGTATTTGGTGCGACATTAGGTTTCTTCACATATATTGAACTATCTTCTTTAAGATAGCGTTTGAATTTTGGAAACCATTTTTTCACACAAGATGTATGAATTTTCCTTCCCTAAAAAATAAACAAATAACAAATAATTATATATAATTGTTTATAAATATATACAAATTTTTACAAAAATAATAATTGAATATATACATCATATACCTCCTCATCCATCAAAATCATTTCTATCGAGTATGTTTCTTTTGCATTAAATTTTGACTTTTGAGTCCAAAGATGTATGATTCGAACTTTAATTGTGAAATCATCCTTGATTGAGTCAATTTCCTTTATAGTAGTAATATGTTCCATTGTACCTTGCAATTAAAAAAAATTGTTTTGTTAACAAAAATGTTAAAATATAAAAAGAAAATCGAAATGAATTGATTGATTGATTTATTTATTTGTCTTAATTGTTAACTGCCATTTATCAAAACATTTTCAAGTTAGGGGCAATATGGTCGTTTTGGAGTAAACGAAGTGGAACAGGGTAACATGATAGTTATAAAATATAAAAATTTATATAATAGATCATAGTAGAAGGTTTATTATTAAGAATACATAAAAAAAAAGTAGAAATAGCAATATACATTCAGTTTTTTGTTTTCAAATTAAGGCATTATGGTCTTTTCTAAAGTAAATGAAGTTGATAATGAGGTCACATTATTGTTTAAAAATCTGAATAACATTTGTGAGTTTTAGAAAGTATAGCAGATTTCATTATTCATAATACATAAATAGCAGATTTTTTAATATACAAGTTGATTGATTTATTTATTTGTCTTAATTGTTAACTGTCATATATCAAATACTTTTCAACTTAGGGGCAATATGGTCTTTTTGAAGTAAAAGAAGTGGAAAAGGGTAACATGACAGTTATAAAAAATAAAAAAACTATATCATAGACTATAGTAGAAATTTTATTATTCAGAATACATAAAAAACAAAAAAAAAAGTAGAAATAGCAATATACATTCAATTTTTTGTTTTCAAATTAAGGGCATTATGGTCTTTTCTATAGTAAACAGAAAAAACCAAATAGTATTTTACTAATTGAATTTGTTGTATTTGATACTATAATTATAGAGAAACAGCAATGGAGGGAAATAGTAAAATAGTAAAATACATATAGAAGCAGAATTTTTATTATATAGATTGATTGATTGATTGATTTGTCTTAATTGTTAACTGCCATATATCAAATACTTTTCAACTTAGGGGTAATATGGTCTTTTTGAAGTAAAAGAAGTGGAAAAGGGTAAAATGACAGTTATAAAAAATAAAAAGCTATATCATAGACTATAGTAGAAGTTTTTTTTATTCAGAATACATAAAAAACAAAAAAAAAAGTAGAAATAGCAATATACATTCAGTTTTTTGTTTTCAAATTAAGGGCATAGATTGATTGATATAGCAGATTTTATTATTCAGAATACATAAATAGCAGATTTTATTATTCAGAATACATAAATAGCAGAATTTTTATTATACAAATTGATTGATTGATTTATTTGTCTTAATTGTTAACTGCCATATATCAAATACTTATCAACTTAGGGGCAATATGGTCTTTTTGAAGTAAAAGAAGTGGAAAAGGGTAACATGACAGTTATAAAAAATAAAAAACTATATCATAGACTATAGTAGAAGTTTTTTTTATTCAGAATACATAAAAAACAAAAAAAAAAGTAGAAATAGCAATATACATACAGTTTTTTGTTTTAAAATTAAGGGCATAGATTGATTGATATAGCGGATTTTATTATTAGAATACATAAATAGCGGATTTTATTATTCATAATACATAAATAACAAAAATTTTATTATACAAATTGATTGATTGATTGATTTGTCTTAATTGTCATATATCAAATACTGATCAACTTAGGAGCAATATGGTCTTTTTGAAGTAAAAGAAGTGGAAAAGGGTAACATGACAGTTATAAAAAATAAAAAACTATATCATAGACTATAGTAGAAGTTTTTTTTATTCAAAATACTTAAGAAACAAAAAAAAAGTAGAAATAGCAATATACATTCAGTTTTTTGTTTTCAAACTAAAGGCATTATGGTATTTTCTATAGTAAATGAAGTTGATAATGAGGTCACATTATCGTTTAAAAATCTGTATAATAGTTGTGAGGTTTAGAAAGTATAGTTATATATAACATATGTATAAAGCATTGAAAGTAAAATAATATAATGAGAAAAAAAAATCGAAACCTATATCATAGACTATAACAGAAGTTTTATTATTCAGAATACATAAACAGAAAAAACCAAATAGTATTTTACTAATTCAATTTGTTGTATTTGATACTATAATTATAGAGAAACAGGAACGCAGGGGAAATAGTAAAATAGTAAAATACGTATAGAAGCAGAAATTATATAACATAGAAAGAGAGAATGAATATACGTAACAAAGCTAAACCTGGTTGATTATGCAGTCCACAAAAAGAAGGCGATTGGTATACCCTGAATCTAGGAAAAACAGATTTCCAACACAATTTTTTTTTTTATAAAATCGATGAGTATAAGATCGATATATGAAGAACGAAAACAAAACAATGTAGTATCCCTTACCAGACGATGAATATTCGACTTATTCGTACTGAAAGAGGAACGTATCTGTTTGTGTATATAGATATATTTAAATTTAAATTAGGAAGACTTTGCCTGATTTTTTGGGATTGTTATTCGATTAACTGATTATTTGGGATAGAGATAAAGTTTAGCACATATTTTATTCCTAATTTTTTGCAGATTAATATTGTATAATTGATAATTAGAATTTTGAAAATCAAAGTTGCTGTTTTTGGCGGATTTCCAGTATTCTTTGAACGGAAGGGCAAAGTGGGAATTTCAGTTAACACTATTGAGCGGGAAAATGAAAGGAGTTGGACGCAAAGAAGTGACACGTGGCTGTATTGGTACTGTTTTATTAGTAGAGTAGATGTAATATATATGTAAAGTATTTATTAGAAAGGGTTTATACATGTAATATATTGAATACATTAAAGTTTCAATAATTTTAATGATTCAATTTTTTTTTTTCATTTTTCTTATAAATTCAAACTTTTCAAATTGTTAAAATTTTATATTTTTTTTAATTAAACTCATGTAATACATGGGTCTCACACCTAGTACTTTATAAAAATAGATGACTATTTAATAGTTAAATTTCGGGAAAATGATTTTTGAGGGTAATTAACTTTTGCGTTTGTACTTATTTGGTCTCTTTCCTTTTTTTTTTTTTTTTTGTATTCAATATACCATCGAACTTGTTGTTTGTGTTCGCCATAACCCTTTTGACCGGCTTTTGACATGTGATAGTCGGTCAAAGCGTTATGGTGAACACAAACAACAAGTTCGATGGTATATTGAGTACAAAAAAAAGGAAATGGGCCAAATGAGAACAAACTCAACAGTTGATTACCTTCCTGAGTCATTTTCCCTTTACTCATTTACAGCAAATCTCACGTCATCTCCTACTGATATTAATGACTTTATGAGATTCATTATTGCTTCTCTTCAAAACATAACCCACGAAAGAATACTATTCATACATGTGCAACTTTGTAATGCACTTGAATATTTATTAGGGGAATCTTGACTAAGAATGCGCATTTCATGACTACATTTACATTTCCAATCGAATGATTTTCGTATCATGGATTCTAGACAAAGTCTACAAACGAGTGAAATCACAAGTGCTGTGATTTTTTAGTTTACTTAGCTTTAAGATTGAATTCATGGGATGAGTTACCCCTCTAAAACGCTCTTCATATACGTTATAACCAAAGAAGGTTGCAGTCTTTGATAATTTTGCAACTTTAATTTCATTTAACTTTTCGGGGAAAGTAACTCAAGAGGGTAACCAATTGTTAAGTTTGTTCTCATTTGGTCCTTTTCCTTTTTCTGTACTCAATATACCATCAAACTTGTTGTTTATGTTCACCATAACCCTTTGACCGGCTATCACAGGTCAAAAGTCGGTCAAAAGGGTTATGGTGAACACAAACAACAAGTTCAATATTATATTGAATACAAAAAAAGGGATTAAATGAGTACAAATGTACAAGTTAATTACCCTCAAAAATCATTTCCCTTAAATTTCAAACATTAAGAAACTTGTTCCAAGATAGAGTAAAAAATTTAATAGTTAACCCAAATAACTATAATTTCCGAATGGATCCTCTCAAAATGGATCATCTTCCTGTGAAATTGGTCGAAATTGTTCGTCTATTTAAATTCTAGATATATATATATATATATATATATATATATATATATATATATATATATATATATATATATATATATATATATATATATATATATATATATAGGGTTAGGTTCATGTGAGACGGCCTAATTTTGTGAGACTGTGAGACACATTTATTTATTTATTTTTTATTTTTTTAAAAAAAATTTAGTTAATTCAAGTTCCGAAAAATAATATTTAAAAAAAGAATTTTTTTATTTTTCCATTTATTTTGCATTTTAAAATTATTTTTAGAATATGTACAGTGTAATATTCTATTTAGAATATTTCACGTATTTTAAAAAAAAAATAGATTTTTTTTAGTTAATTCAAGTTCCGAAAATAATATTTAAAAAAAGAATTTTTAGATTTTTCTATTTATTTTGCATTTTAAAATTATTTTTTAGAATATGTCAGTGTAATATTCTATTTAGAATATTTCACGTATTTTAAAAAACAAAAACGGGATTTTATTTATTTATTTATTTTTATTTTTATTTTATTTTATTTTTATTTTTTTAGTTAATTCATGTTCCGAAAATAATATTTAAAAAAAGAATTTTTGGATTTTTCCATTTATTTTGCATTTTAAAATTATTTTTAGATTTGGTCTCACGGTATCACAAAATTCGAATGGTCTCAAATGAACCTGAACATATATATATATATATATATATATATATATATATATATATATATATATATATATATATATATATATATATATATATATATATACCATTCTTCATATTCCATTTTACAAGTCACAAAAAAACATTCTAAAAAGGTTTTTTCTATGGTTTATTCATATACTAGTTGTGAAAATATAATGGTCTAAATATTTGAAAACTTTGAATTTATAAGAAAATAAGAAGAGTAAATTACTGAGATCGTCCCTGTGGTTTGGTCAAAATTGTACGTTTGGTCCCTTACTTTTCTTTGCACTCGGATCGTCCATGTGGTTTGATTTTGTTGCGTTTTCCGTCCTTGTGGTTTGATTTTGTTACATTTTTCATCCCTTACATACATAAAGTTAGAGACCAAATATGCAATTTTTACCAAACCATA